AGCCTTTAACCTCTGGAGGTTACATGTGGTGTGAACAAACCATGTCCATTTCCACTTGTTGCTCTAAAGAGTTAAACATGACAGTTCCTGTGTGTGCTTATTTTTTTAAATCTGCTTTAATCTGAGTTTACAGCCTAAAGATTTGCCTAACACAGTTAATGCTCATCTGACTATCATCACTCTTGATCTGAGTTTTCATCAGGATTTCAGACTTGTATCTCTATGGCAGTAAATTCTGGTGTTGTTGCTGTGTTTAATGAGGGTTCAGTGCTCTATTCATGACCAAGCTTGTGATTTTTATCACATTCTAAGTCTATGTCTGTGTAGCAAGAGCTCCTATCTGAACTGGGGGTTAAATTCTGCCCATGGGCACTGAAGGTTGAGTTGTTCTTAACCAGATGCTGAGATAGTGACCCACTCCTGCTTTACAGTAATTGCCAACCAGTTTGGACACCTGCTGCAGCCTTTTATTGCTCTGATGTTTATCAGGATGACAAAAGCCAGCACCTGAATCCGCTGGACCGAGTTCAGTGTTTAGATAAAACAGTGGTCTCCTGGCTGAATCTGTCTCACTGGTTAAAATGATCAGCCCCAGTGCAGACTCTAATTGAAAAATATCAGTTTCATCCCCTCCCTGGAGCTGCAGTCACCAGTCTGTTTAAACTCATTTACATCTCAAATGTAGAAGAGTCAGATTCCATTATCTGAATGACATACATCTACTTAACCTCGTGCTGCTGACCTTGTTCCCACTTGGATAAATTTAGGAAAACCTTCCACCTTCATCTTCAACATGTGGCTGTGGGAGCCCTGGCTGCCCTGGCTCTCAGGGCACCCCCACTTGCTCACTGAAGTCTCTGCTGGAATTACCCTGGCAATGGCAGGCAATGCAAATTAATCTTCTTACAGTCATTTTCCTCATCTATTTTTGAAATATGACCTTGCTGATAAAGCAATACTAAGAGAGAAACCCCCATCTGCCAACCTCCAGGCTGAAGGATGATTATAAAATCAAAATATTGCCTGAGTGAGTGAGAAGAGTCATGGTCCTGCACTTCAGAGCAGCACATATCACTGTCTGGATTTGTGTCAAGCCAAGGGCTGTCCAAGCTCCATGACAGCCCAGGGCAGAGCTGGATTACATTACAGCAATGGCCAATTGGTGAGCCAGATGGCAAATAATGTTATATTATGATGAAAAAGTACTTGCAGGCTCAGAGGGAATTGCCCAGGAAAGACTGTCACTTGGAGAGCATTAGTCTGTCAAACACAGGCTGAGCTGGGCTTTGGCATCCTTGGCTTCAAATCCTTGCTCTGCTGCTTAGCTACTGCAGCACTTCAGGGCAGTCCCCTCACTTCCCTGCACCTTTTCTGTGATCTTTAATCCCTTTAAAGGGTGGGTTGTTCTTTATGTTGGTTGGTTGGTTGGGTTTTTTTTTTGTTTTTTTTTTTTTCTCCTGTGCCTTGCTTAGAGTGGCCCCAGTCTCCTTCCACTGTTACTGTGTGGTGGCAGTAACTTGGGCTGTGAGGTTTGCAGCAGCTGGAGAGAATGATGGCGGCCCTGCCCCTGGGGTGATCTGTCTGTCCCCTTTGCTTGGTCAAGAGCATCTTCAAGAGGTCAAGTTAGGAAGGACCCTCTTGCCTCTTCACTCTTTACAGCTTCTAAGCAAATGCATTTGAAACTGAGAGCACTGGCACAGCAAATCCCTCACTCTGAAAGCAAATTGAAACCTCCTCACCTGGATAAGCCAGTCCCCCTTCATGCTCTCTTTGGTCTCCTAAAACCCTGAATGAAGTGGTTTGTGGCATCACTGTTAACACTTGTGGCCGTGCCATGGCAGCCAGTGAAGTGACCAGAGTTTCTTAAGGCCAGTATCTAGGAAAAAGCAAACAAACGCAGAAAAGCAGCCTCATAATTATTCTTGCTAATTAGTTAATGGCTGTGAGGTGCTGTGAAGATGAGAAGTGAGGAGGTGCTTGGTTATGGAGTCCCAAACACCCCTGTGAGGCCAGCAGCAGCTCCTGCTGTGGGTCAGCAGACTCTGCTGCAGCAGCTCTGAGTGCTCTGAGCTTATCTGGGAGCCAGCAGTAAATCAAGAGGGCTTTGGAGAGTTAAATCTCCTTGAGTGTCTTGTAGGCTTAAAAGGCAGCGAGCCCCATGTAGCTGACTCTGCCTTGGGGCAGGGCAATGCTCTTGGTGAGCTTTTAAAGCCCCTTCTGTCCCTGTTTTCCCTGATTTTGTGATGCAGGGCAGCTTTGCTGAGCCAGATCTCACCTTTCCTGCTGAGCTGGGGTTCCCTGTGGTGGCATTTTCTCATATCTGAGTTCTTTGTGTGCTGGTGAAGGACACCGTGGTGCTGGGGTGACCTGATCTCCTGTAATCCTCTCACCACCACAGCTGGCATCAGAAGTTGCTTGCCAGATGCAATTTAAGCTTTCAGAAAGCCAGCTCAGATGTGCATGACAAAGACTAACCTTACAGACCTGGAAGTAACTAAGTGCCTTAAAATTGCACCTACATGAGGAGTTTTTGGGCTGCAATCTTGCCTCTTTTCTTAAACACTAACATGAAAGAGATCTGAAGGAAGGATGCACTTCAAGCTATTTTTTTTTCTCTGAACTTGTGATGTGCCCCTCCTCTTCTTCTAATAAAATATGTCTGGGAATGCTTTGGGGGCTTCTCCTGCATAGCTGGTGCCACACCTGTTGGGAAGGGGAAATTCCTCCTGGTCTGCCTGTCAGAGAAGCCTGGAGGAGTGCTGCTGCTGGAATGTTTTATTGACAAAGCTGGCAAAAACACTTCCTTTCCATGAAAATTGAATTATTTGTTTGTTCAACTTTTGAATTTAGTCTCTGTGGGCAAGACCTGCAGCTGGGGTAAATTAGCTCAGCTCCAGATGTACCCTAATATATTTTGAGATGTCATTTCCCTGTGTCTGTATGTGATTCTGTAGATCTTGCTGCTGCCCTGGTTTTGGCATTGTTTCAGCTTTTGGTCTGCTTTGTCGTCTCATTCAGCCAACAGATCCTGGGGGCTAAGGGTGTGTTGGGATCTCAGTGACATGAGGCAGGCATCATGTCCACTATCTGCATTTGCAGAAGGTCAATAAGAAAAATCTGTGTTCCTGGGCTGCTCCATAGGCTCAGTTTTGTGCTCTGCCCACTCTTTGCAGGATGCAGGAGGAGTAAAGAGTGCCACTGTCAGTGCATCTCCTTTGCTCTTCCAGTGTCACTGTTGGTCCCTGAGTACAACCAAGGCCAGGGGTTTTCCTGGTAAGAAACTAACCTGGAAAGTTTGTACTTAGGCTTGTAAGCAGGAGGGAAAAAAAAAAAAAAAGGGATCCTTGTGTATTTTTGATGCTTTGGCACCTGTGGAGTTTCTGAGTACACAGTGCTGTTAGGACAGGGCTGGTTTTGGGGTGGGCTCAAGGCACAAGAGATTTCCAGCATGGGATCCAAGCCGTTTTTCTGAACATTGCTCTAGAGCTCCAGTGGAGTTGGAGGAAACAAAAGCTGTAGGATGCAGACTGAGCAGGACAAAGGACTCGGTGATGCTGCCCTTGTGATTAATCAGTATGGCTGGTTTGGCATCAGGGGGCTGTCTACCACAATCAAAACAAACAAGGAAAGGCCCTAAAACTGTAAGCAATACAACTCCTTATGGAGAGATGGATGTAGTTCTTTGGTTTTCTCTTGGCTGGAACAGGGCTATCCCAGTGGATAGATGCATCCAAATGAGTGGAGAGCACAGAAAAGAGCTGGGAAATAAACAGCTTTTCTTGTAGATGGTGTCAGTGTTTTAGATCTTGTCAAATACTGCTGATAGGTGCTCCTGGGTGCCATCCAACCACGTATCAGCCATGCCCCATCCCTGCAAGTGGAACTTCAAAACCGGCAACCACCTTAAAACACATACTCGCCCACCGGGTTCACTGACACATGAGCCACTGCTCTGCATTTTTTGGTTGGGCCGACCTTGGAGCAAAATAAAACCTCCAAAAATTAGACCACACCTCTAGACTGAGAGCAACCCCTCAACATGCTAATAGCATCCAGACCCGATACAATTGATCAATGGACCAAGCTACCCCAGGGATAACAGCGGAATCGCAACACTTGGCAGGGATGGAGTGACCTGGTCTGGTGGAAGTGATAGTGGAGCCCTGGAAAAAGTTAAAGACAGAATCTAAAATGTTAGGCTTTGTGCTTTCCCAGATCAACTTGCACCTGCATAAGCAGTATGCTAAATTATATAATTGTTAGATGTGATGATTGTTTAGTAATTAAATACAATTATTATATAACCATAAGAAGAATAATGAGAAACTATGTTGGAAATTCAGAAAGGGGCTAAATTTATGTATACAATAGAACAATATAAGTTTAATAATTAACATGAAAGTTATAATACAATATAAAGTATCGTTAGATAGAGTATAAAAACATGATCATTTCGGATGTATGGTCAGAATCAGATTTGGGTAATACCCTGATCCCCAGAGCGCTTTAATAAAAAGCACTGCATATAATCCCCTGTGATTGTGTTTTTGAATGCTAACAGGAGGTGTCCAGGGCAGGGGGCTCGGGGTGAGATGGTTGTGAAGGTCCCAAACCCAGCCAGTCTGTTATTCCATAGATTGCAGTGTGTGAGAGCCAGTCTGTGATGCTGTGATCCTCTCCCTGAGGATGGGGTGTGCATTAACATCCCTGGGGTGCAGCATCGCAGGTTGGGGCGCAGCAGCACGGTCAGCATCCCGTGCAATGCAGCAGCAGCCGCGTTCGTACGGAGGGCAGGGCTCGGGCTGGGGCTGGGCTGGGCAGGACGGGCTGTGGGGACGGTCTGGGGCTGGGCAGGACGGGCTGTGTGTGCGTCGGTGGCAGCGGGGACGCGGGGCGGGAGCGCCGCTCCGGCAGCGCCGCCTGCGCCGAGCCCCCTCCCTCCCTTCCCTCCCTTCCCTTCCCTCCGTCCTGCCCGCTCACGCTCCGCTCTCTCCGCACAGGGACACATCGAGGTGGACAGCGAGACCGTGTTCAAGTTGGCCGCCCTGGTGCTCCAGGTGAGTGTCTGCCCCGGCTCGGTTTGGCTCAGTTCATTCCCTTCCCGGGGTTTTTCCCTCCCCGCTCCGTACGGAGCCCCCGCAGGGTTGTTTGTGGTCTCCGCGGCAGAGGAAGCTGGAACACGCAGGAGGTTCTTTTTGAAATGTTTGTTTGAGGAGTTTTTAAATGGAAAGAGTAAAAGCTAATCAAGGGAAGTCATTTATCTGGGCAGGTTTCCATTCATTTTATCACTTAACTGTAATTTAAATGCATTCCAGAGATCTGGGAAGAAAAGTGTAAATATTGTAGCTCAATCAGCTATGTTATGCCTGTGAATCTTCTTTTCCAAGCATATGGTTTTAATGCCTCTGTTATGTTAAAATATACAGTGTCAGTTTTTCCTCTCATTAATCTAGTTTTGCTCTAATGAGACTTAAATTCCAGTTATTTGCCACTTTCTATGAAATAAAATTCTACCTTTAAAAAATTGGGGGTTTTCCCCCATTGCATTGTCAGTGACAAAGTGCCACAGCAAAGCTGCAGCAGCAGCAGCTTGATCTGCCTGAACAGTTGTTTTCATCTCGAGTGAGCACAATTCCTCCCAAGTGCTGACCTGACTGTACAGCCAACCTTTGCCTGGATGGGAGAGCAGGGAGAATTGTATTTCACTTCTTGTGCACTAAAAGCAGCATTTGATTTGCAATGTGAAACTCATCCCCGTTTTGGAAGCAGTTTTATTTGTGCTGTGGGTGGATTGTCTGCAGCTGGGAGCACGAGGGGCCAAGTCCAGCTCCTGAGCACATGCAGGGAGTGTGGTGGGGGTCAGGATCTGCCTGCAGAACTGTGGGAGTGGGGAAGGGAACAATGCTGGGAAAACCAAGGGTTTTGAAGAGATGGTGTTTTAATTCTGTCACTGTTTTTCAATTGTAGGAAGCTAAAGGGGACTATTCCAGGTAATAACATTTTCCTTTCTAATACTGGTGTGCTTGATGGATGTGTTTTTCTGTGTTGGCATTGTACTGCAAACAATCACGAATGGGGGTAAAGTCCAGCTGCGAGCAGTGCCCGAAGAAAGTGAAATGTGCTGCTGGGCTGGATAAAATCTGAGTCTGCAGGGTGAGTAATGCCTTTTGTGAGCAAGCTCTGAGTCAAAACAGCATTTGAGGCCACCACGCTGTGCTCCCCTCCCGAGTGTGGGTGCCGCAGTGGGAGAAGGGCAAGCTCCCACACCTCCTTCCTGCTGGGAAAACCTGTGCTTTGCCAAACTTTTGCCAAGCAAACCATTGCCTGTGCTTCTGTTGGCCTGTGTTTGGGTCCCTGTGGGTGACCTTGCCCACAGCCCTGAGCCATCAGCTGCCCTGGGATCAATGAGCCATGTTCTCCTGCAGCTGCCCCGGGGCCTCTCCCTCCCCACACTTGACCCAACACTTGTCCCCTGGCTGATGTGCACCCCCCTTGCTCTGTTTAAAGCTTCATCATCAGGTCTGCCTTCCCCTTGGAGGTGCTGCTTACCCATCTCTGATTGTGATAAGGGGCTGTGGGGAGCAGGTGGGGTCACCTGGACCTGCTGGAGCCACGGGGAAAGACCTTCCATTAGAAACAGCTTGCTGAGCAAATAGAGATCCAGGAGATTGGCTTTGGTCACGTTAATATTTTACTGCTTGCTGAGTTTCCATGCGGGGGAGAAGTGTGTTTTACACTTTAGCTGCAACAGCTTTGTAGAGGGCTCAGTACAGACCCAAATGCAGGGAGCAAGTCACGTTTGACTGCCTGAGTGACTCTGCTTTCCCTTGAGGGGGCAGTTGTCAAGTAAATGCCAGTGCCAGTCCCCAGACCCCTTCCTTCAAAGGGCTGTCTGTTCTCTGCCAGAGGACACACTCTGTAAAGTCCATCAAACCCCCTCCTGCTGTTCATTGGCATGCTGTCACACCTGCAGGGACAGAAAGGTGTTTTTGGTCAGCTGGGTGGGCTGGCTGTGCAGACCATTTCTGTTCCTGCTCATGCTGCAGACCTGCTCTGTGACCCCCAGTACACTGCTTACACCTGCAATATGCTGCATTCTTCTCTAAAAAGACCCCTTATCTTGCCTGATCTCTACAGGGACACCCTAAGCTTAGCTCAGTTAGGCACAGATAACCGGAAAATCACTGCTGACTCCACACTAAGTAACTTGTTAAGCTGTAGCAACTGGTGGCACAATTTTCTTGATTCTCAGGAACAGGGGTTAATGTTAAAAACCGCCTTGGTGGTGGAAAGCTCCCTTATGTGGTTTAAACCTAACACAGCCTCCTTATCATTTGCCATAAATAGGTTTGTAAGTATGGCTTCACGAGCCCAGGAACTGTGGCTGTGGCTGTTTTCCATGGACATGTTGCAAGGAGTGGATTGCCCCTGGTTACCTTCAGAAGTATTTAAAGAAAATTGTAGGCAAGAGCACTCTGCTACAAGAGTGATTTCCAAATGCAGCTAAGAGTCCCATGGAAATAGCTGCAGCAATTGTTCCCTTTGTTAAACTGAACATATGTTATGCCCCCATGGCAAATGAGCCCAGCCAGCTGTCCCAGGCCCAGTGAGCACACCAGGAGTGAAGGAATTCCATGTCACATATCACAAGTGGTCCTTTGGGCCATTGCTGATAAAGCACTGGCTTAATTACCAGCATATCTTAACGAGGATACCGGAGGACTGGCCTCTGCTGCACAGCTTGCCATGCTGCACACACTGTGTCCCTGTGCACTGCCTTGAGTTTAGAGTGTTCTCTGCTCGCTGTCATTTGGACATTCTGCTTTGAATCACCTTCTGGAATGTGGCTCTTGCACCACCTCCGTGAGAACGTGCAGGTTGATTTTTCTGGTGCTGGATTAGTGCTGAATGAACGCCGGCAAATACAGGAATTGCCTGAAGTCCTGGAGATTAGCTCTGTGGAAGTGAGGATTGGGCCAGTCCAGGCAATGCTGGGGATCTCTTCCTGTCTGATTTATTTCACACACATCCCCTAGGCAGCTTTTCCATGGGGACACATCCTGTGGTGGGGTCACCATGTGGCATTCCCGTGATGTCAGCTCCGTACCAGGGCCCGAACACTGCTGTGTTTCTCTCCCGTGGTTCTACAGGAACCTCTTTCCCAATCCTCTGCTCAAATCCCCAGATAACACCCTGATGGCAGGGAGCAGCAGCCTGCTGGGAAACACCCTCCCCTGCCCCATGCTGAGTGGGTGAGCACATTCCTTGGAAATCTGTTTCTTTTCAGTGAGCAAACCTGACACGTGCGCGCTCGGAGAAAGTAAAAAACTTTTGATTTCTGCACCACCAAGGTCACTCTGGAGGGGCTTCACGGTCTGGTGGCACTGGCAGCATGGGAATAGCAGGGACTTTGGGGTTTGGTGCTTTGCAGGACCCCAAGGTCCTGGACTGGGCTCTTACAGGACAGGGGTTTCACAGAGTCATGGAATGGTTTGGGTTGGAAGAGATCTTAAAGATTTTGTGCTTTATTATTTGGGGAGAGACTCTATGTAAGATGGTAGACCCACATTCCACTTGGAGAGGACTCTGGTTTTGAAGACACGTTTATAATTTGTGAAGAGACTTCATGTAAGATGAACCACCCAAATCCCACTTTGAGAGGACTCTGGTTTTGAAGACATCTTTATAAAACTAAAGTGCATGCTTCAAAATTGCACCCCCAGCATGTCCTGGTTTGGACAGCTCTGGATTCTCAAAGGCAGCCACGACTGGCTTGGGGACACAGGAGGAATGAGCAGCAGAGGTGGCAGCAGGCCACCATGTACCCATTTCCTCTTCCTGTTTACCCAGCTGGTGATCCCAGCCAAGATAATTCCCCTGCTGTGTGTGATGAAGGGGATGTCACAGGGATGCTCAGTGAGTTATCCCTCTTCCCCTACCTGGGATGGGGTCAGGGCTGCCCTGGGCAGAGCAGGACAGTCCTGCAGCTCTGCTGTCCCCAGGAGGGGCTGCAGGACGGTCCTGGGCTGGGATGCTGCAGATTCTGCCCCTCAGCCTCTCTGAGCAGCGCTGGGCATGCTTTGCTCAAGAGGAAGGATGTAACGCTGGCTCATGTTTGCTTTTCACGACTCGTGCACGGCTTCCAGTTGACTGCTCGTGTGTTTCAGCTGAGTTCCCAGCAGTTTTTACCCAGCTCCTCCTGCAAGTGGAACCCCAAGCAAGCATTAGTCATTGATTGGAGTTTTGAAACTCTGTGTCAGTAAATTGCGTTTCTCCACTCTCCTGTTTGCAAATGAAACGGAAAAATCTGCAGGCCTGGTTTTATGAAATCTTGGGTTTTAAACTCTATGTAAAGGTTTTAAAAAGATAATGTGATTAAAATTGCAGCTTCTGGCATGGCTCAGTTTCGGGGGAAAACGTACATATTCTGTTTATTTTGGGAATTTTATTTGAATTTTAAAGAGACAATGTTTTGGCAGTCTGTTAATTATTCATCTTGTAGATATACAACATATAAAGCTTGGCCTCCCTGGGAAATAAATAATTTAGCTGTATTTAGTTTAAAATTAAGCATCTGCCCTCAAAAATGCTGTAAAATATTATATATTTTTATTTTCCTTTGTAGCTTGATGAGAGAGACAGTTTATAACCAAGAAGTCCTAAATGCTGTCCTAGCACTGGAAAAATGTTTATCAAAATCAGATTAGCTACAGGGACTATATAAGGAAAGCAACTTGGGGGAAAAAAAAAAGTTTATTTTTTGACTGGTAATCTTGGATGGTATTTGCCCCAGTACCATTTCCAGGACTGAAACCCAGCCCTGCTCCCTGGAAGTTAATTAAATTGCTGGAGGAGGGCTTCTATTTTCTTTAAATAGCTGACACATTCGTTTTTGATTCTGGCCTGTGGGCTGCAAAGATAACTCCCGACCAGTATAACATAACACAGACAAAATAATGAATTCCTGATAGCTGACATGTGCGAGGCACCGGGATTTATCGTTCTGGGGGTGATAAAGGAGTTTGGAAAAGGGAAAGGTTTGGGTGAGAGAGAGCCCTGCAACTGAGGCTATGGAGTAATTGGTTCAGAAAGTCCTGAATTTTAAAATCCTGCATGGAAAAAAAGTGAAGTTCTCGATCTAGGTACAGAAAGTATTAACAATTTGCTCTTAGTTAAGAGTGGTCAGAGTGAGATTTTTGGGTCGTGTTCTGTTGGGGAGCTGAATATTTTGCCAGGCAAACTGGAAGATCTCTTGGTAGAAAAGAACGTGGGAAAGATAACGTGGGCAGTGCTAGAAAATAGCTGTTGGAAAGAAGTTAATAATTGTCTGATAGCAAAGCACCTGCTCACTCTACTGCTAACCCCAAGATTAAGGAAGGTACCCTCGGGAACAGGACACACCTGAGGTCTGTTGGAGGTGGCTTGTCCAGCCTGTTTCTGGGAGTTTTGCCAGGTTTATGTGACCAAGATTCCAGGTGTGGCCATGCCCAGGGGTTGGAGCAGGAGGACAAGTTTGGGGATGAGCTACCAGGGCCCATCTCATCTGGCCAGAGCCCGGTCTGGATCCTGCTACAGCCCCAGCCATTTCCTCACACCTGGGTGCTACAAAAGAGCTGGTGGGTCACCAGAGGATTCACTCTCACAACACCCATCTGGTGCCTGTAGCAGCACTGCAGTTCAGTTTCTGATGTTCCTTTCCATGCAAATGCACTTTTTAAAGCCCGTGCACTGATACCCTGAGCCTTTTTGCAGGCTGTGTCTGCCTGGCTGTAAATCAGTGCTCAGCCCTGGCGCTGCCTTGTGCCCCTTGTGCTCCTGGCCCTTGTTTGCCAAGTGACTCATTGTGTGCTTTGCCTTTCAGCTGTGACTCCCAGCACTTTTTCTTTAAATACCTGCTGGGGCACTGGCTCTGAACCATTAACTCTCTCTCGGTCAAATCCAGCTGTGTGCTTTCCTCAGCTCCCTCTTTTTCAATAAACAGCTGATTCAG